GTCATCGGCAAACTTGTTGAGGGTGCACTCAACCCACTGTCCATGTCGCCAACAAAGATGTGAAACAGCACTGGTCCCAGTACTGACCCCCAAGGAATGCCACTTGTCACTGGTCTCCACTTGGACCTTGAGCTGTAGACAGCAACTCTTTTGAGCGCAACCATCGAGCCAATTCCTTATCCACCGACTAGTCCACTGTCAAATCCATGTCTCTCCAATTTAGGGACGAGGATGTCATGCAGGACAGTGTCAAATGCTCTGCACAAGTCCAGGCAGATGATGTTAGTTGCTCTTCCCTTATCCACCAATGCTGTAACACCATCGTTGAAGGGGTTAATATTAATTTCTAAAGGAAGGGCATGAAACTAGAGAATTCAGTATTGAAGGAGAAAATGAAATAGAGTAACTGATTTCCCTTCTCATATTCTGCCCGTGACAATGTTGGCAAGAAGATAGACAACCCATAAACCCCAAACATCTGGGACAGTCATTAACAGTTTCATTAACATAATCACATGCCAGAAAGTCTTTAAGAACACTAGAAAAGAATATCCACACTTACACCCAGATTTGGGGCATGGTGGGTTGTTGTTTTTAAGGGGTAACAAAATACCTAAGAATAGACACATCAACGCTTTAATAAGAAAATGAGGATTTCTGTCTGGAAAAGTATTTGACTCATGGGAAAGGGATAGCTCGTCATCTGGCATATAACCCCACCTTTGGTTGTGTAACCCAGTGAAGCCTTTGACCCTTTTACTATTGGTACTTCTTCATTTCTCTGGGAATTTGCACATGAGGCTAAATGAAACATTTTTTCGCCTAATCAGCTGCAGAAAAAGAAAAGAAGAGAAAACTGAAAGTTCAAGGATTAAATGACGACATAACTCAGCATTAAAGAACTCTGTCACCAAGGGTTGCCAGTAAACACCAGCACGTTCAGTTACAACTGCCTAATGTCTGTTCCTATTTGTTTATGAACTGGAACGTCAGATTTTCATTACAAGGCATCAAAGCCTCCCTTCTTCATCCTGTTCTACCCAAGGAGATAACAAACAACCACTTGCAAAATACTGATTCATATGAAGAAGTGTAAAGGCATGAAAAACATTCTGCTGCCTTTCTGGTTTAGGAGAAACACAGTTGTACCACAAAGATCAGAAATAGTTAGATCAGATCTCCTCAGAAAAGGGGAGGGAATGGGAAGAAGTCTTGCATCGCTGTCTTCTGAGAGGCCAGCAGAGCCACAAGGTACTTCCTATGTAGGGTGGACAGTAAATCATCCATAGCTGGGCTTGTCGGATTCAATCGGAACTGGCACATATATTAAAACCAGGACCAGAGCTTGTGAAATGATCTCATCTTTTCATATTGCTTCTTCCTTACACTCTTCTTCCACAGTAGCAGCATTTTTCTTATTGTGTAACTGATTTAAAGGGTCTGAGGGGAAGACAAATCTGTAACAGATCCTGGCTGTGTCTTTGCGATCTTACTTTCATTTCCCTAATGGCTCTATTGTAATTAGATTTGCAAAACCAGCAAAAGGTCTCATTTTGAATAGCAACAGCTGTTGACATCAAGATTACATTGAATAATTTACTGGTTTAATTTTAGCTGCTAAACAATAAGAGCCTCTTGTCAAAGATTATTTCACTGGCTGAAGTTTTCTTTTTTTCTCCCCTGGCTGCCTCTCCCTTTCTTTGTATGCTGGACACCACCAACCAGCTCATCAAAAAGACATTTGTAACTTATGTGGCCCACGCAAAACAATAGTTGTGTATGTGAACACTATTATTTGTTGCACAGATTCTTAATTCTGGCTCAGATACACAGGCTGTATATTTCCAAAGGTAACAAATGATTTTGGGCACTTAGACGGGACTCGAGAAATTGATGCTCAGGCTCAGACTCCTGTATAGAGTCTGGTTTCAGAGAAACCTTTTGTATCAGTCCCTATACAAAAATGAGGGCAATAACACTTTCGCCTCATGTTAGTGCTGACGGATTAGTTCACCAATAACAAGGAGCAGAGACGAGAATTCTGTCAACGAGTAAATACTAAAACTAAAGTCATTTTACAGGCCTACACTTATGTAAATATCAATGGCAGCATTTGCTACAAACCAGTGCTAGCAAGAAGGAAAGCTGAGAGTGTTGCTGTGAAAAGTTGTTCTCTATGGTTTTCAAAAGGCGTGTAAGCTTTTTTTCTTATAAGCTGCTGGACATTCATGACTCGTGAGAGACCTGAAAATCAAAGGTTACATTACTGCTGCACACACTCTGTTTTCAGGAGTGGGACAAGTGCTTTACCAAGCCAAACTGTATGTAAATCATCATGTGCTATAAACAGTAAACAGGATAGCTCACTTCACAGAATTTGCACTTACCCTTGCGTGCAGTTTGGATGACATGGATGGCACTCACGATCCTCGTCGGCGTATTTGAAAATGAAGCTGTTGGCCCCCTGTAAGCCATCAGGACATTTTTCCACACAATTTGGACCATCCTTAAAATGGAAACACTTTGTGCAGTGGTCAGGTCCCTGGAGAGCGTGGAATAAAGAAATGCAGTGCATTCAAGTTATTCTGTCTTTTCCCACTGCACTAAAATTGCAGGTCCTAGATTGACAGCACTCTCAGCAATAACTCTACTAGCACTTCTTTCTCAACGAACAGTGAATTAGCTGCATGGTTCCAGTCTCTATTAAGGAGCAGTAAGACATGGTGCTTTTGGCCATAAGTTTATTCTGTAGAGTGTAAGACTAAATGCCAGCTTCTAGACAGATTTCTCAATATTATTGGTGTGCTTAATACACTTGAACTCTGAGAAATTTCCCACGACTCTGTTCAATACTGAACCACATTTGCAAAGCAGCTGCAATAGCCTTTAGGATCCCCTACCTCTGCACTCCAGAATTATTTTCCACACTGCATTCCCCGTGTGGTAGCTGGTCACAATAATACTGAAGAACTACAAAATCTCCTTTTTCTTAACACATATGTAGACTATGCTATTACAAATTACAAACCAAGGCTCCTGAACGATGTAAAAGTAAAATTTTAAAGCTGTGATGATAAGCCAGTGTATAACCAAATCTGGTGTTCAGGTTGAGCACTAGTCTAGAATTTTTGTCCATGAGCCTGCTACAAATCCAAATTTCCCTCATGGATTGAATGCTTGAAACAGTAGCTTCTTGTTTCACTGTTGTGTTGCAGAAAACACAGTATTGCAAGAAAAATGATTGTCTTTTTTTCTGTTCAGTAGGTTAAGTCACAAAAATAAGGAAATATGTTATGGGTTAATTTTTCTCAACAATGAAGAGCCTAAAATACAACTCCTCATTGCCCAGGACACTTGTGACTTTTAATCATGGCAATATACAAGAGACCAAAAGAAAGAGATAACTTCTGTCTCACAAAAGAACAATAATCTTTGAAAGAAGACTCTCTGGCTGTTGTGAAAATGACAGCCACAGCTAACATTCATTTAGGATGCATGAGAAAAATTCTCTATCAAAACAATCTAAAAGGCTATGTTAAAAAAAAAAAAAAAAAAAAAAAAGAACAAAACCCAAACCCCAACATATTGGTCAAGTTAACTGAGAGATTCCCACACTTTTTTGTTGAAAAGTAACTGAAGTTGTAGTAGAACAGGACAGAAGTGAGTTCAAAGAATAAAAACAGCAACAAAGAGTACACTCAAATCACAACTACATGCTGTCATTTAACAATTTTGTGTATCTGTACCACTAAGGCATTAATACAACTCAGGAAAGAAAAGGACACTACTTTTTAAACCACTTTCTTAAGGAGGCCGATCCAAGGAAGTTTATTCCCAGCATCAATTTAACCAATTTAGAGAATTCTTTGCCTAAATAAGGAACATGCATATTTTTAACATTAATTTTCAATAGCCACTTTAAAGTCTGTAAGTGGAAAATGCCTGTGCTTTAGCACACTTTAACAAGCTAGTCCATAACACAGCAAATTTTGTTCTTACCGGCCCATAGCATGTGATCATATTTTCTTCCATCTTTTCACACTGGGGATCACACTCCACACAGACAGACCCATTTGCAAATTCTCGAAATTCCCTAAGAAAATATTTTGCAGGCAGGTTAGGAGAAAGCAAAAGTGAGACTGAAACTGAGACAAAATGGGGAGCTTTTCACCTGGTGGAAATCATTTCAGCTTTACTAAGGTCAGCCAACTGTGCCAGGTGAGATCACTTCTCTTAATGACATTATGCTGCTTTACACCAGCTGAAAACCAGGCCCCATCAGCAACCTCAAGTAGACATCTTGTTTACCAGTTTAAAACTAGAGTGCTTTTTTTTCTCCTCTTTCCTTAAGAAATAAGGACCTCATTAACTCATTTCTTGATTTTTATCTATGGAATTGCCCCTCATGGCTCAGATTCGGAAGCCACTTGTTACATGTGAGACATCACTATCAGATAGGTAGGATTAGAAAAAGCATTGATCACAGTACTGTTCTTGTCTTAGTTAAATCTCTTCACACATGCCTGTTTTAAAGCCCATTCTTCAAAAGGCTCATAACTCCTTCATCAACAACAATTCTAGACTGAAGTCTGAATCTAAAAAATGTCAAAAAAATACTTTTGCTCCTTTATTTCATGTATGCACAAGAAACTATCACCCAAATGATTTATTTTTTTATTAACCACCTATAAGGGGTGAAAAAGCAGTGATAGCAGGTAGGATTTCTTCCATCAAACACCAGGTGTCTCATTTCAGCTTTCAGTTGCCACTCACAAAAAAACTTTCAGCACCTTCTCAACACACCTTCTTCTAGGCTGGCATGAATTAACACCTGAACAGGTCACTTCTACTAAACAGAGAGAATCTATGTAACTAGCTCAGACTGGAGACCTAAACTTTGCAGATGGATCCCATCTTGTTGCATTAACCAGTTAAATATTTGCATTAAACAGTTAAAGACATGCTGCACACTCATGTTAGTGGGGTCTAGTTAACTCATCCATGTTCTCCCTCTGCTCGTCTATAGCCATTAGGATCTATCACAACAATACAGCTGAGGAAAACCTCACTTGATTGCAGCAAGTGAGCTCACCCTTCTCTGGCTTTGGAGATAGAGTTGTCCTGTTGAGGATTAATACAGAAGTCAAATACATCTGACCCTACCCTGAAGTACTGTTGCTGCCCTGAGAGATGAACGTGCAGAGCTCTCAAACAAACAAATGAAAAACTTCCCCCCAAGCCCAGGTCACAAATCACTTCACATATTTCAGAAGGAACTGAGCCTGTGGAAAGTGTAAATACCATTCATTGATCAGAACATCCCGATTTGAGGGCTGGTCATGAAAGCCTCCTTGTAATCTTACTGCGATAGGCTTCATGGTGACACCAGCCACCAAATGTGGTCCAACATACTGTGGTGCATATGAGAACACAACTGTGGTCTGCAACTCTTCTTTTTACTTTTTTTTTTTTAAACATTTTTGGGGGCAGAGGGGAAGGGCTTTTAGGCATATAAACCTGTACTCTGACAAGATTTTTTTTTGCATGTATTCTCCAGATAGAAGAGTTTGTAATATTTTCACATGTATATGGCAGTTCATTCAACTCTTTCCATACCAGTTACATGAGTTGGTATCCAAGGCCGGAAAAGAAAGAGAAAGAAACCATAGAGTGATCTTATTTTCAATTAGCAGTTTGAACTGAATAAGGTAATGAAAATAATTTAGTTTTTTTTTTTAATCTTGACTTTAAATGAGGTGCCAGGAACCTTGGAAGGGAAATTCCACCTGCTTCACTCCACAGCCTAATGATGAATGTCTTCTGCTGCAGCTAATATAAGCAGTTCAGCTCTATCTTTGTGTTTTAAGTCAGACTCAGCCACCTTGGCTGTGCTGTATGTAGGTTTTCCTCCACCCATCATCCAGAAAAGATGATGCACATGCACTAGTGGGAGAAGGAAGGGGGGAAGAACTCATGTTGGTTTTATTATTTATATTTGTGTGTACACATACATAGTGTACTAGGAAAAAAAAAAAAAAAAGAGAGTGAATTTTCCTACTCGGAGGTCCTTATTCTTTATCATGTGCCTAAATCTAACTAATGTGAAAGAACATAATTGTATCTGTTTCAGAATAGGGGTGGCAATATTCAAGTAGGGCTAAATGGTGGGGTTTTTAGTGTTCACCTAAATCAAATTGTTCACATCATCAGGAATGCAAAAGGTGCAACAAACTTTTGATGTTGTGTGAAAATTTTAGTCAGCAAAATACTAGGTAAAGCCTTCTACACATTTGGAAACACCTAAAATTTATCCTACGATATATTTCACTGAAAATCAGTAATATTGGCAATGGAGAACAGATTAATGTAAAACCAAAATAACTTACTCATCAAAGTCCTGAACAACATAGTCAACAACGTTACGGGAAAAGTGCAAGGGAAATATCTTACCCATCATACAGGTTACAAGAGTCTATGCAGGTCCTTCCCCTGATGAAGCGCTTGCAGGAGAGACACTGGTCTGGCCCTGGCCCCCAACAGCCATCACTTGAGCATAACTCGTTACACACCATTCCATCAGCAGCTGCAGAGAGACAGCAGACTATCATTAATTTACATAGTCCTCTGAAATGCAAAGGAAAACATTTCATTCAGCATTCTGCCACACTCAGGGATGTCAACTGAACATTCAGTTTTTCTCGAAACAGAATAGAGAAAAAACAGAAAATTGTCATCACAGCACTACATATACACAATGTGCACTCACAGATTGACACTTCTGGTCTGTTCCTTTCAGAAAGGATATAGTAGAGTAAGAAAAAGCCTTAAGAGCACTGCACGGATGATCAAAACCAGAGAAGAGCTTCTATACAAAGAATAAGCATATGAGTAGCCTTCGATATGGGTGAGAAAGGACATGATAAAGGTCTGTAAAATCGTGAATGACAAGATGAAGATAACTAAGCATGAAACAATTGTTCATTGCTTCTTCCAGGACCCTCATGGGTATTCAAGACAGGAACCCAATAGGGTTCAGAACTGAGATTTTTCTTCATAGAAAGTATAGATCAAGCTGCAGAATTCCCTGACACAGGACATGGTAAATGCCAAAAATTTAAAGGATTTGAAAAATCAATTGTCCAAATCCAGAGAAGGGCTATTAAACTAAAACATAAAACACTACCTCTGAATTGAGGATGCCCTGAAATAAAACATGGATGGTGGGGGGAAAGTCAAAGAAAAGTGATCATTAACTGCATTTTTTGAAACTGTTTATTGCAAAAGAACCTGAAGACCCAAAGAGCCTTTATATTAACACACCCCCCCATAACACATAAAATAAACACTGGTCCCTGTCTCAGAATGAAAATTCAGTTTAAATAAACAAAATGAAAAAAGGATGAGAGAAAAGGTTCTTTCAAACAATGTAATTAATTCTCTATTTTTATTTTATATAAATCCTTCTCTACATAAATATCTGTGACAGATGGAGAAAATAAGCAAAGAGCAAAAGGAAACACATGTTATCTCTCCAGCACTTGAACAAAGTCCAGTTGCACAAATTCAGCCAGACCCTGGCACGTGAAAGGGTAGATCTCTTAATTTCATTTCACTCTTGCATGATGAAATGTTTTATGCAAATGGTTACATACTAGACTGAGTAGATTAAAATAGCAAAGGTCTGAAATGTCAGAGATGGCAAATATATAAACACTTGTTTGGGGTTTTTGGCTTTTTACACCACCGGAAACAGCATGAGGGTAGTGTCAAATAATAAATTAAAAATAAGTTTGCTGGTAGAATTCTACCACTGCCTCCAATGCTGTAGCAAATATACCTAGGCAGGAATAAAAACAAACACAATGAATACACCCATAAAACAGCAACTATGTATGCCCAGCACACATTTGAAGAGGGACAATAGCAAAACCCACAGAAAATCTTTTTGCAAAAATCCCTCTGGCAGCTTTACATTAAATAAAATCTGGGGATTGATGAGGACCAGACTGAGAGCTTATGGGTCAGGATTAAGGGGAGGGCAGGGAGAGCTGATGTTACAGTGGGGGTCTGCTACAAGCCACCTGACCAGGAAGAAGGAGTGGACGAGGCCCTCTACAGACAGATAGGAGCAGCCTCAGGTTCACAAGCCCTGGTCCTCATGGTGGACTTCAACCAACCCGATACCTGTTGGAGGACAACACATCAGGGCATAAGCAATCCAGGACGTTCCTGAAGTGCATTGATAACTCCCTTCTCCAAGTGATAGAAGAACCAACAAGGAGAGGGGCCATGCTCGAGCTTGTTCTCACCAACAAAGAGGGGCTGGTGGGGAACATGAAGCTCAAGGGCAGCCTTGACCACAGTGACCATGAAATGGTGGAGATCAAGATCCTTAGGGCAGCGAAGAGGGAGCACAGCAAGCTCACTACCCTGGACTTCAGCAGAGCAGACTTTGGCCTCTTCAGGCATCTGCTTGTGTATCATGGAATAAAGCCCTGGAGAGAAGAGCTTAACCAAGAGAGGGAATATGAACCAAGAAAGGTGGTTTATATTCAAGGATCACCTCCTCAAAGCTCAGGAGCAATACATGCCTACAAACAGGAAGTCAGACAAAAATGCCAGGGACCTGCATGGATGAACAAGGAGCTCCTTCCTGGACAAGCTCAAACAGAAAAAGGAAGCCTACAGAGGGTGGCAGCAAGGATTGGTAACCTGGAAGAAATACAGAAAAATTGTCTGACCAGCTACGGATCAGGTTAGGAAAGCTAAAGCCCAAACAGAATTAAATCTGGCCAGGGATGTCAAGGGCAACAACAAAGGGTTCTACAAGTACATGAGTGGTAAAAGGAAGACTAGGGAAAATGTGGGCCCTCTCCTGAAGGAAACGGGACACCTGATCACCTGGGACATGGACAAGGCTGAGGTACTCAATGACTTTTTGCCTTAGTCTTCACCAGCAAGGGCTCTAGCCACTCCACACAAGTTGCAGAGGGCAAAGGCAGAGGGACCCAGAGAATGAAGAACTGCCCACTGTAGGAGAAGATCAGGTTTGAGACTATCTAAGGAACCTGAAGGTGCACAAATCCATGGGACCTGATGAAATACATCCGCAGGTCCTGAGGTAACTGGTGCATGAAGTTGCTAAGCCAATATCCATCATATTTGAGAAGCTGGGCCAGTCCAGTGAAGTTCCCACCAACTGTAAAAGGGGAAACGTAAAGTCCATTTTTATAAAGGCGAAAAAAGGAAGACCCAGAGAACTACAGGCCAGTCAGTCTCACCTCTGTGCCCAGCAAGGTCATGGAGCAGATCCTGATGGAAACCATGATAAGGCACATGGAAAATAAAGAGGTGATTGGTGACAGCCAACATGGCTTCACTAAAGGCCAATCATGTCTGACAAATTTGGTGTCCTTCTACAAGGGGGTTACAGCATTGGTGGATAAGGGAAGAGCAACTAACATCATCTGCCTGGACTTGTGCAGAGCATTTGACACTGTCCTGCATGACATCCTCGTCCCTAAATTGGAGAGACATGGATTTGACAGTGGACTAGTCGGTGGATAAGGAATTGGCTCAATGGTTGCGCTCAAAAGAGTTGCTGTCTACAGCTCAAGGTCCAAGTGGAGACCAGTGACAAGTGGCATTCCTTGGGGGTCAGTACTGGGACCAGTGCTGTTTCACATCTTTGTTGGCGACATGGACAGTGGGTTGAGTGCACCCTCAACAAGTTTGCCGATGACACCAAGCTGTGTGTCAACACAGTGCGGTCAACACTCTGAAGGGAAGGGATAGCATCCAGAGGGACCTGGACAAGCTGGAGAGGTGGGCCCGTGTGAACCTCACGAAGTTCAACAAGGCCAAGTGCAAGGTCCTACATCTGGGTTGGGGCAATCCCAAGCACATACACAGGCTGGGCGGTGAATGGATTGAGAGCAGCCCTGAGGAGAAGGACCTGGGGGTGTTGGTTGATGTGTGAGCTGGCAATATGCACTTGCAGCCCAGAAAGCCAACCGTATCCAGGGTTGTGTCAAAAGAAGCATGGCCAGCACATTGAGGGAGGTGATTCTGCCCCTCTGCTCTGGTTGGACCCCACCTGGAGGACTGTGGCCAGCTCTGGAGCCCTCAACATAAGAAGGACATGGACCCCTTGGAGCAAGTCTATAGGAGGGCTATGAAGATGATCAGAGGACTGCAACACCTCTCCTATGAAGACCAGCTGAGAGAGTTGGGGTTGTTCAGCTTGCAGAAGAGAAGGCTCTTATATCAGACCTTCAGTACCTAAAGGGGGCCACCAGGAAAGGTGGAGAGGGACTGTTTATCGGGGACTGTAGTGACAGGACAAGGGGTAACAGTTGAAAGGGTAAGCTGAAAAGGGTAGATTTAGGTTAGATATTAGGAAGAAATTCTTTACTGTGAGGGTGGTGAGACACTGGAACAGGTTGCCCAGAGAACTCGTGGATGCCCCATCCCTGGAAGTGTTCAAGGCCAGGCTGGATGGGGCTTTGAGCAACCTGGTGTAGTGGGAGGTGTCCCTGCCCAGGGCAGGGGAGTTGGGACTAGATGATCTTTAACATCCCTTCCAACCCAAACCATTCTACAATTCGATGAAAAAGACCGTAGTTCTTTGCACACTATTATTTTACACTTCCTTTAGTAGAGCAGCACAGCTGGATGACTTGAAAAAAAAAAAAAAACAAACCCTATTTTCATTTCAGGATACCTGATGGTGTTGTCTCCACTATCAAGACTGGAACAGTGCAGTTAGGTACTGTCCATTACAATCTACCTTAACAATTACAGAGTATACTGAATTTTATCACCTGAGAAGCACAAAGCCCTTCTAAATCACGAAAGAGTCAGCAGAAAGATGCTTTCTATTCTCCACAGCATTATTTAACACTGCTTATTCTGTGCTGTGGTGTATATAACGTCCCTCATTTTAACCACTGAATATCTGTCATAGCAGCCTCCTGTACAATACAACACACTGCTTCATACAGCGACTCTCTCCTTAATCACTCCTTAATCACCACTTTTGATCATGCCATTTGTTTGATGTTGGCACCATGTTTGCCAAACACATCTTTCTGATCTGTACAGCATACCCAGCCTATGTCCTCTTCTGTTTCCTACAGGGAAATTCCTGCACCTCTATTTGCCTGCTTACATGAAGGAAGTTCATATCACACTGTAGGAGTGCTTTCTTTTGACATACGCTACCTTTCCCATCCTTCATCCCACTGTCATCCTGCTTTCTGACCACTGAATTTATCAAAAAGCACTTCTTACAAAAAAAAAAAAAAAAGCATTAATTGCATGCATGGTTTATCTCTCACAGTCCATGTAGCAAGTAGGCAAGAGGAGTGAAGCTTCTTACGTATTTCCTTTCTTCTTGCAGTAGGACACTGTGCTTTATCAAGATTGAGAATGGCAGATTTTCATCTACTTGTTTCTTTTTCTGCCTAGAACATTTTCATAATTCAGTGCCAAAAACGGACATTTCACCTTTACAAGCAGCATAGGAACCAATCAAAGATTTCATGTCCTGCAGCCCTGGCAGGCAAACTGATCCAAGAACAA